CAAGTGAGCTAAATGGCCAACCCTGTGCTCCCCGCATTCTAAAGGGCTTCATTCCTAGAAATTGGAACTGGAGGCTGAAATGGGTCAAAATATTTTTTAAGGTTAGTTGCAAAAGCATTGTGCAGTCACTGTGTTAGTTTTTCAGGGAGTAGTAAATAGGAACATAACTTCAGAACTTTGGGGGAATAAAGTATATGAGTGTGTGTTTGTGGAGGGCAGGAGGGGTAACTCCTATTATCTTGCAACAGCCAGCTATGTTCTCAGCTGCCCCTTGGATTCCTCCCTGTCCCTGCTCTCAAACTCTGCTCTCAGGCCGGCCCGTGGCTCACTCGGTAGAGTGCGGTGCTGATAACACCAAGGCCACGGGTTCGGATCCCAAATAGGGATGGCCGGTTCGCTCACTGGCTGAGCGTGGTGCTGATAACACCAAGCCAAGGGTTGAGATCCCCTTACCGGTCATCTTTATAAAAAAAAAACAAAACTCTGCTCTCTTCTGGCTCTCTTTTTTTTTTTTTTTTTTGTCAGCGTGACTAGTCAGTCACCACATAACTTAACTTCCCAATGCTTAATGAAGACATACTTCACTTCTCAGTCTGTTACCTGCTCAGTCATCAGTTTTCAGCAAGTGTAAATATGTGCCCTTGGAAAACACATAGCATTTAAAAGTAGGACTTCCTGTAGCACCATGATCATTTGAGGCTCCAGGACTAGGATTTTAGATTTACAGCTGACCGTTTTTGCTCTTGCTTCAGCTCCTTCACAGAGACTTGCCTTTTAGAACTCAACTGCTTGGGCTGAGCCCGTGGCGCACTCCGGAGAGTGTGGCGCTGGGAGTGCAGCAGTGCTCCCGCCGCGGGTTCGGATCCTATATAGGGATGACCAGTGCGCTCACTGGCTGAGCGCGGTGCGGCTGGTCTTGAAAAGGACAAAAAAAAAAAAAAAAAAAAAGAACTTAACTGCTTTTTGGACCACTCTGACCCATATTATTTTAACAGCCTTCTGACTAATCCCTGAATCCAGATTTCTCCACCCTACTCTGCCAGCTGTTGGCAAAGTATTCTTTGACTTTTCTTGTTTCATCTTACTGTGAAGCTCAAAATCTGGCAGTTATCTCCTGCTGATTATGTTAAATCTAAACTTTTTAACCTAGTGTTCTTTCAATACCTTTGTCTTTTTTTGTGGCTCTTCGGGGCAGCTCCTCTGGTTCAGCCAGCTAAGTCTGCTTTCTACCCCTGACCCATGGCTTGCTATTGCTGAAATCTGTGCTGTCACTTGTGATTTTTAAAATGGGCTATTATAAAAAAAGAAAAAATAACAGATGCTGGTAAGGATGTGGAGAAAGAGATATTGGTGGGATTGTAAATTAGTACAGCCATTATAGAAGAAGTATGGAGGTTTCTCAAACAACTGCAATTAAAACAACCATATGGGGCCGGCCCGGTGGCGCACTGGATAGTGCGCCGCTTGGGAAGCGCGGCGGCGCTCCCGCCCGAGGGTTCGGATCCTGCATACAGACCGGTTCCTGCTCACTGGCTGAGCAAGGTGCGGAAGCAGTACTGAGGGTTGCGATCCCGTTGCCGGTCCCTGGTCCGGTACGGGGGCAACACTGAGGGTTGCGATCCGTTGCCGGACACGGAAAAAGACAAAAGACAAAAAAAAAAAAAAAAACACCATATGATCTAGCAGTCCCAGTAGTGGGTATATACCCAAAGGAATGTAAATCATGTTGAAGGGATACCTGCACTCCCATGTTTATTGCAGTGCTATTTACAATAAATATGGACCAGCCTAAATGTCCATTGACGGATGACTGGGATAAGGAAAATGTGCTATATATAAGCACAGTGGAATACTACTCAGCTATAAAAAAGAACGAAAATCTGCTATTCACAGCAGCATGGATGAACTTGGAGAAAATTATGTTAAACGTAATAAGCCAGGCACAAAGAGAAGTACCGCATGTTCTCACTCATATGTGGGAACTAAGTAACAACCCCCCGGAAATAAAAAAATAAGTTGAGCTGTTGAAAGGAGAGAGAAAAACTGGTTTCTAGAGGCAGGAAAGGGGAGGGGTGGAAGTAAAAGGCTGGTTAATGGATACAAATTACAGCTAGACAGAAAACATAAGTTCTATTGGTGTACAGTTAACCCAGGAATCTATAATTAATAATGATTTACTGCATGCTATCAAATGACTAGAAGAGAGGGGATCAAATAGTCACATCACAAAGAAATGATTAAGTTTTGCAATGAGGAATATGCTAATTACCCAATTAGATAATCACATATTGTATACATGTATTAAAATATAACTGTACCCCATAAATATGTACAATCAATATGTTTCAATAAAAAATTTTAAAAAATGGAATGCCCCCTCCTACTCCTTTTCTTCCTTATCAGTCCCCCTGGCTCCTGGCCTTCTCTAATGGGGTTGTTTCTGGAAGCCTTTCCTGACTAATATAGGACTTTGTACCTCCTTGGCACACCTGCTCACACTAATCCAATTCCTATGAATGTGTACTTCCTCAGCTCTCATTTGCTCACTGTACCTTGCATTGTCTTGTCTTTGCAGATGGTAATGAAACTGATTTTTAAAATCTGGTTTCTTTTTCTTTTATTTATGGACACAAAGCTGTGCAGAGGGCTTAAGTGCTGCCTTGCCTATAGGCAACACTGCCTGGAGAGATGGGGTGTTAGAGGCTTGAGTACTGATGAAGTTCTAGAGTCTAGGGAGGCATCCCAAAGATCTAGTCCTGTCCCTGCCCATAATTCCCTTTTCCACCTCCCTGGGTAATCACATCCATTCTTGTTGCCTAAGCTTCTATGACATATTAATGCCTCTCAGATATATATACTTGGTCCATTCTTCTCTCCTGAACTTCATATTCGTATTCTTTTTTTTTTTTTTAAGATGACTGGTAAGGGGATCTTTACCCTTGGCTTGGTGTTGTCAGCACCACACTCTCCCAAGTGAGCGAACCAACCATCCCTATATAGGGATCTGAACCCGTGGCCTTGGTGTTATCAGCACCACACTCTCCCAAGTGAGCGAACCAACCATCCCTATATAGGGATCTGAACCCGTGGCCTTGGTGTTATCAGCACCACACTCTCCCGAGTGAGCCACGGGCCGGCCCTCATACTCGTATTCTTTAATACTCAGTTTGACCCCTGAATCTTCCACAAGTAACTTAAACTAATTGTGTTTCATTCAATGTGAAATTGGTCCCTCCCCATCTTCCCCTCTATTCCCAAATTATGTCTCCTTCTGTATTGGTTAATGGGCATCTTTTTTTTTTCCTTTTTGTCTTTTTTCGTGTCCGGCAACGGATCGCAACCCTCAGTGTCGTGCCCGTACCAGACCGGGACCGGCAACGGGATCGCAACCCTCGGCACTGCGTCCGCACCCCGCTCAGCCAGTGAGCGGGAACTGGTCTGTATGTGGGATCCGAACCCTCGGCGGGAGCGCCACCACGCTCCCAAGCGGCGCACTGTAGCAGTGCGCCACTGGGCCGGCCCGATGGGCATCTTCTAGATTAGAAATCTTTGGTGGGTGTTTCCCTTTACTCCTTTGTCATTCCTCAAATATTATCAGTAATTGAGTTTATCTTCCAGATTTCTCCTGGCTCTTCTTCCTCTCTTTGCGTCTGCCTTTGTTGAAGTCTCACCTCTCTTCTGAATTTGTCTCCTTTCCTACTGATACTCCAAATGACCATAAGGATTGTTTTTCCTTTTTGTATTTTTTTTTTTTCGTGTCCGGCAATGGATCACAACCCTCAGTGTCGCGCCCGTACTGGACCGGGACCGGCAACGGGATCGCAACCCTCGGTGCTGCACCCGCACCTCGCTCAGCCAGTGAGCGGGAACCGGTCTGTATGTGGGATCCGAACCCTCGGCGGGAGCGCTGCCACACTCCCAAGCGGCGCACTATAGCAGTGCGCCACCGGGCCAGCCCAGGATTGTTTTTCAAAAGACCATCAGCATCTCCACTGTTGTACTGGTTGTTTTGCTCAAAAGTGCCACATTCACACTTTAGAAATTGTAGATTTGCATATTTGTTATGATAATCTGGCGGATGGGAGTAAAATGTATTGTTCTAACATCAGTATATTATGACATTTAAGGCAAAGAAGCCTTTTTTTTGTCTTTTTTCGTGTCCGGCAACGGATCGCAACCCTCAGTGTCGCGCCCGTACCAGACCGGGATTGGCAACGGGATCGCAACCCTCGGTGTTGGGCCCGCACCTCGCTCAGCCAGTGAGTGGGAACCGGTCTGTATGTGGGATCCGAACCCTCGGCGGGAGCACCACCATACTCCCAAGCGGCGCACTGTAGCAGTGCGCCACCGGGCCGGCCCAAGGCAGAGAAGCCTTCTAATACACATAAAGACACCTAAGAA